CAATATCACATCATTATAATAAGCCAAAAGACTACAAGGTAACCAATATAGAACCTTTTTAATATAAAATATAAAATATAAAATAAAATTATAATTATAACTGTACTGATACCTTTTCAAATAATATATAGATACCATAGAATTTTTCATTTAACAATACTATCGAATAACGATGGCCGATGGAGCACCTTCAATATGTAAGAGAACTTATTAAGTCATAATAGTTACTTTGGTCTCTAATTAATATATATATATATATATATATATATATATATTAAATAGATAGATGAAAAAAATTATTATGACGTAACATACTATTTATTATATTATTTTTTTAGTAAGATTACACAACTTCAAGTTATATACACACATATAATTTGTTTAGTAAGATAGAAATAAGGGAGAATAAAATTTTTGTGGAATAAGTGAGACGAATTTATTTATGTCACTAATCGTCTAAAAATGTTGACAAGGTTAATTTTATAAATCTAAATTTGATATGATAAATATGAGAAGATTGGGTCAAATTGTTTTATAAATATAATATGTTTTACCATGTATAATTTAATATAAATACTATCAATTTAAATATAATATCATGCTAGATAAAATATTATTTATTAAGTAAAAAATTATATTATTAACATGTAATTATTTAAAAATTATTAAATACATGACGTTAGTTTGGATTGGAAAGACCTTAAAGATAGTCCCAAATACATCCTTAAAGTATATATCAGGTGTAATTTGTTAAATTTTAATTTATATAAAATCTTTTTAGATTAAGTTAAGTCAATAAAAATTGAAATGAGACGAGTCTACTTAAAAAAGTTAGGGGAAAAAAAAAGAGAAGTGAAAGTTAATTTTGAAAGGTTGTTTGCTAAAATGGAAGTAGAGTGAAGTGAGAATAATTTTAGTGGAACCTACAAAAAAAAAGCTACTCTCTACAATTTGAATTTATTTATTTAAAATAAATTATTTAAATGATAATAATAAAGATAATTTTATTTACTATTTTTTTTTTAAATTAAATAACTTCTAAATTTTTTTTTACTCTATTTAGTTTTTACTCCCCTTCAACCAAATAATATCTATTTCAACCAAATAATGTCTATTTTTTCTTCTATTTTTTTTTTTTTACTTATTTCTATTATATTTATTTATTTTTTTCTTTTCTTTCTCTCCCTCTATTTTCTTCATCAGTACCAAACAAACCCTTAGTTGTAATCTTATTATTTATTTTAAAAAAATCCTGGAAAAAAGAAGAGTGTTATTTTTTACTCTCCCAAGTACTGTTTACAAATATATTATAACATTTTTCGCCGACAAAATCATTAGCACGAAATTGTTGTTTTACAAATAAAACTTGTTTTAACAAAGGAAGTCGAAAGAAAGAAAGAAAAAACGAACACGTATAAGGAAGGCTTATGTGGAGGACCAGAAGCACGCCAATTGTAGGATATGTGCCATATATATGAATTCCAAACTTTTAAATCAAGTTAATTAATAGATGAATATATGACTAATCGGATATTCATCTTTGATTTCTTGTTATTTTTCGTCCAAATATTTTAGTTTTAGTGATATATTCAAATATCAAGTTAACAAATTGTTATTGCATGAGTTATTGATTGATTAATTAATCGATTTAAGATAATTAATTGGTGATTGAGAGGCGAAGGAAAATGGTCGGAAGGATAAAAAAAAAATGAAATAGAATAATTGGAAGATGGAGGTTACATCATGCTCCGCCTTTAAGCCTTTTTGGTGGCTGGCTGCCCAATTATTAAAAAGAAAAAAGAAAAAAAAGAGAAACACGTTTATTATTATTAATATCAGCACAAAGAGTAGCTCAAATTCATTTGCCTGTCGCTAACCATAATTCACAAGGTGGACCTCGAATTATATTGGGAAAATTTTAAATTTAACATCTACTAGATATAAAATAATTAAAATATATATAAATGAAGAGTAATTTTTACTTTACAAACTAATTTTATAGAGTTAAGTTAGGTTTAAAGTTACTTTTTCTAGATCATCTACTACTTTAAAAAAAGAAATTAATAATTCAAAATCTAATTCGAATTTCAATTCCAATTTTTTTGTTCGAAAATTATATTTCTATTTGAATTTTTATGTTGTAAAAAAAAAAAAGAGATAATTGATGATGAAGAATATATATTTTTCTTTTTTATTTATAAAACATAGTTTTATATTTGAATAAAATGTCACTTATCATTTATCTACGTACCAAGCTTAATTAATAGTGTTGAACGTGAAGAGAGTATAAAACAATCTTTATTCTACAAATCAATTTTATAGGATTTGATATTTTATAGAATTGAATTAAACTTAAATTTATTATTTTAAGATAATGATAGTGGGGATTACTACCATACCACGGTAACATTTGTTATGGCAAAGAGTGTATTTGTATTTGAATATTCACCCTAACCCTTAGGAAGAGGATATATACATAATATAAGTTTATATGATGATGAGTTGTAAGGCTTTAAGCCACTTGGTGGGTGACACATCAGAAAGAGGCATGGTGGGCCATGGGAATTTTGGGTGTGTACCTAGTAATAGTACTAGCCTACAAGATTTACCCCGTGTGGGTTGAAGGGTTTTTAACAAATGGGGTTAGAGAGGTAAGAAAGGTGTTAATTTGGATAGTGTAAAAGCAAATGGCGTTTGGGAGGAACAACTGGAAAGTAGTGTGCTAAAGCTAAATTGATGTTTCGCATTCCCGTTTGCAAGTTGACCCAAGCTCTCTATGCTTTTCTCATCCTATAAATACGCTCTCAGTATGTGCATACCGATTCGTGGGATTTAGAGAGAAACATAGAGAAGAGAACTTAACATTCAACTGAGGGTTTCACTTTGCACATACAAATCTAGACCTAGATACCACTATTCTAATTCTAAATTCAAGAGATGGCCATGCATCGCGAGTCTTGGGCTTTTGTCTTCGGCCTTTTGGGTATAACTCATTCTTTCATTACCATATTAGCCACATTATAATTTCATCATCTTAGTTATCCTCGTTAATTTTTTCATCTTGGTGTGATATGGTTCATCAAAGCTTTCCTATTATTGTGCTTAATACCTAAAGTTTACATCAACTTTTTTCTATTTTGAATCGTATTATTACTTCTATAATTCATTACTTTGTCAATAAGTTGGTAGACAACATGCATATTGCATGGCATATTTTCTATATCAACTCTAATGCATTTAGAAACTTAGGATATAACAATATATTTAATTAATAAATATAATTATACCATGTAGAGTAAAACAAGAAGATATCATGTTATAGCATTTGAACTTTATCCACTTCAATCATGCAAAACAAATATATGTAGGCTGAATAAAGGTTGTTCACAAGTGCTAATGGATGTTTCTTTTTGGTGTTTGTTTTTATAGGCAACATTATCTCCTTTGGAGTGTTTCTTGCTCCATTGTAAGTGACTTTTCCTCTTTTTTTTTTAGCACATTCTTTGTAATTAATCTTTGAGCATGCTAATTGAAGTAATTTCATTAACTGTAAAAATATCTTGGCGCAGACCAACCTTTTATCAAATTTACAAGAAGAAATCAACTGAAGGGTTTCAGTCACTTCCTTATGTTGTTGCACTGTTTAGTGCAATGCTTTGGATTTACTACGCATTCGTCAAGAAGGAAGCTGCACTCCTTCTCATTACCATTAACACGTTTGGAATTGTTGTGGAGTCAATTTACCTTGCAATCTTCCTATTTTATGCTCCAAGGAAGCCTAGGGTATATCTAAAACTCATCTTATATGCATAACCTCACTTTAAAGCTAGTTTTCTTAATTTATTTTATTTTTAACTTTTAATATTTTTTTAATATTTTTGTTTTCTTTTTCTTGGGTGGAATCACAGCTTTCGACCATCAAGCTTCTTCTCTTGTTGAATGTGTTTGGATTCGGAGCCATGCTTCTATCAACTCTCTACCTTTCAAAGGGAGCAAAGCGTCTTGCTATCATAGGATGGATTTGCTTGGTTTTCAACATAAGTGTCTTTGCTGCGCCTCTCTTCATTATTGTAAGAATTTTACAAAACCTAATTAATAATATATTAATAGTTTCTTCATGAACCTTTCAATCTTTTGTAGTTTTTTTTTCTTCTTCTTACTTATTGTTATGATCAATACATGCAGAGGCGAGTGATAAAGACGAGGAGCGTGGAATACATGCCCTTTACTTTGTCCATGTTTTTAACCATCAATGCTGTTATGTGGTTCTTCTATGGCCTTCTCCTCAAAGATTATTACGTTGCTGTAAGTTCAATGCTAGTAGAATACTCACATTTTTGGCCCTATGAACTATAATTATTTTATTATTCTAACAAAGGCGCATACGTGTCTTGCTCATTTTTTCCATTCCTTTTTTGGGTACACCCCCTTTAGTTTTTGATTTTGCTTTAAACGTGATAATGTCGTATCAATTATAGTAACGTAATTAAATGTTTGCGTGCTCCATTAACGTGGGGTTCCCATGAATAAATCCAAGTGCATGCAATATGGACTCCCCGTATTCCCATTATTTAATCCGAGCAACTTTTATGCGTAGGACATGCAATTTAATTTGATTCTTCTCTTCTTTTGGATAAAGATGATACATACATGTGTAAAGTTTGATTGAAAAATATTAATTATTAATTAACGCTTGCATTTGCATGATGCAGCTCCCAAACACACTTGGGTTTCTGTTCGGCATAATTCAGATGGTGATGTACTTGATATACAGAAACGCCACTCCAGTGGCACTAGAGCCAGTGAAGGCTCAAGAATTGAATGGCCACATCATCGACGTTGTGAAGAGTGGAGCAATGGGCCCGAATCATGCAACTACTGGTGGTGGTGTTGGCAAAGTCTGAATATTATTATTTCACCTTTGAGAATTATATGAATGTGGAGAAACAAGGGACCGATATGACAAGAAAAGTTAAAAAAAGTTAACCTAAACGATCAATTACTTTACCGAGTGAAGTCACATCTAATATCACTCATATCTACAATGCAAGAACAGTACGTAGTCTTTGGTATAAGTGTTTGGTTTGATTAATGTAAAGGTGTGGTTTAAATTTGCCTGTTCGGGTAGCTGTAACTATTGGGCACTCAACAAAAGCTTAATTTGCTCTTAGCCTCTCTTTGGCCCATACCCTTCTCATATTGTACCCCTACGTGTAACGTACGTAGCATATTCTCTTCTCTCAGTGTATCCCTCAGTCAAACTCATTTCAATTCTCTTTTCCCTTGTATACGTAATTAATGTTGAGTAATGAAAATTAATTATTTTAGTAATTTTGCATGGTGTCTTCACTCTACAGTTACTAATTATTTATGATTTTTCAATTCAATATAATCATCGATCATTATCCTAATCATGACAAGTTTATTGGTTATTGTCTAATCGTCTATAATTAAATGTTTATCATAAGTGATTAAAGCGATTGAGAAGTGGGATCTCTTTACTTTTCATGTATCATGGAAGGGGGCAGATAAGCCCTACTAAAAGGTTATAATTATTATAAAAAAATAAATAAAGAAAGAAAACATTGCATATCTTGATGACAGCATTGTTCCAAGTTGCGGACAAAAACGCCGGACATATTTTGATTATAGGATTGTAATCTAATATTCGGGCTTGATCCGATTCCATTTGAAAAGGAAAGTGTTGAAATAAAGCAATGCCAATAATTGGAAATTGCAAAACCTACGGATTAGAACGCCAAAGCTTATTGACTCTTGATTAATTAAAATTACTTGGAGTATGAACAAAAGATAGATAGGACAAAGTCAAAACAGGGAAAAAGTGTTCATGATGAAACGTAAAAGTGAATTGCTCAAGGCCAAGGGAACCTACCCATGTCTATTTGTCTTCCTTTGCTTGCACCATCCTTGCCTTTGCACTTTTTTTTTTTTTTTTTAAATGCATATTTTGATCATTTCCCACCTTTTTTTAAAACTACTAGTAGTTTGTTCTCACTGAAATAGTAACTGTTCCGGATAGTGATTTGATTTGGAGGGCTTAAGAAACTGTACGGATCTCTGAGGTTAAGTGCTGCATGTGCAAGGCATGGGCATTTTCATTGCACTTTTTTTTAAGACTTTTTTTTTTTTTTTTAATTCTCCAAGGGGGAATCTGATATTTTGTATCAAATGACATAAAACAAGATGATTTATATTGCCCCACCACTTCATGTTTCGTGGTAACCTAGCTTGCAAGGTAGACACACTGGGCGTCTCAAAATTAAAAGGCATATAGAGGGATGAAATTTAAAGGAGACAAAGTCGGGATTTGTATTTTCTTTTTTTGAACTCGCTTTGTGTCAATTCTCCATAGGGAAAAGTTTAGGCCTTTTGTGTATGTGACGTCGTTAATTTGTGTATGCTTTTAATCAAATGTCGCGTTCTGATCTCGGGAGGAAAATTGGCAAGGATTTGTTACAAATGATTAATTGAATTTTGGGAGTGGGGGGGATAAACTCGATTAAAGGGAAATGGTAGGCAGAGGAAAATGCACTAAACGTGAAATGAAAGAATGGGCCAAAGAGAGAGAGAGATAATGCACCAAAGGATGAGTATGCGTTTGAAGATAAGCATTTGAAGGCTTTACGCAAATAAATGAGCCAAGGTGTTGCTCTAAAAGTTGCCTATGATTGTGTTGAAAGATAACCTTCCCATGCACAATACTTGGTTGGCTCGTTCCCGTGCTCGATCCTACAAGCTGATGCGCCACCATGCATAGATAAGGGTGATGTAATACACCACTTGTTGGGCATCTTTAAAGACCCTCAAACCCCATTACAGGATTTGTCAACCATCAAACCCTGTCTTCTATTGCTTTATCTCTTTTAATTTATCCCATCATCAATCAAATGATCGTCCTCAACCATGAGCCACCATTTTTTTAAGGCGAGTTTAACTAATTCCATTTTACAAAATTATAAATTAATAAGATGCACCTTTTTTACTTATATTTTTTATTTTGATTTTATTTATAATCAATGCGACACTTGCGTGTGTGTGTGTTTTTTTTTTATATTGAATTTCATGAATGGGTAATATGAATATGATGATAATATTTTTTGTAAATTTTAATCAAACTCCATTTTATAAAACTAGTTTGTAAGGTAAAAATTATTTTTCCACTTATTTATTCTATACTGGTCATATCTATTGTCAATTTAAAAATTATTTTCTTTTAGACATAACTTAACTTTACAAAATTGACTTGTTAAATCTATAAATTCTCTCGCTTATATACTTTATTTTGATTATACTTCTAGCCAATGTGTAAATAATATGGTTGGTGACCTTTTTAATAAATTTATATAAATTATGATATTATTTTAAGAATGTTAATTATTAGTTCCTTGTTAATTGTAAATTTTACATTTATGGTCAAAATAAAATATATAAGTAAACAATAATCATCACTTATAAAAAAGTTAATTTTGTATAATTGAGTTAGGTCATAATTCACTTTCTTAAGACACTTTATATGGTAAAAGTTGTCCTCCATTCGTATATTTTATTTGACTTTAAGGAGGTAATTGGTACACAATATTTTTTTTTTTTTTAGAAATTGAGATTGGAATGTTAGTTTTTCATATTTAGTTTGTTATTTGAAAAATAATATTCTTAACAAATATTGTTTCTCGATAATGTTTTTTAGATGGGTTACCCATCAATTTATTTTCAAGTGAGAATCTAACATTCTCATATTAAAAATAAAAGTTTATTACAATAAAAATATTATGTTATCTTTATTTGTTAATTTAAAATAAAAAAAATTACTTTTTAAGCAACCTTTATAAATATTTCTAAAAATATTTCTTGTCTAGTAAATAAATTTAATCATTAATAAAAATTATAATTTTCGAACATGAAAAAAAAGATGTATCAAATGTCTAACTCTAAATATGAGATTTATATTTTTTAATAAATTTAATAATAAATTATTAAATGACATCATGATTCCTATCCATCTTTACATGACACTTAATTTAATACGTAAATATTTCGCAAGACCATGAACATAGTGATCGTATAATAATTAATTTCTTCAATCCGACCTTTTAATTAGATATGATTCCGTCTCTTGCTTTTTTTTTTGTGTTTTTTTTAATTAACAACCATTAATTTATTGCTTTTGATTCCATCTAGTGGCTAACCTTATGTATTAGCCAATGATTGCCCCATAATGGCCGTCGTAGATATATATGATTTATGGTTTTTGGCTGTTTTCGATTTATAAGTGACTAGGCCTGTACCATAAGTCATGAATCAACTTTGTGGTGGACCATGCTTAGCTCATACGTGTTCAATCATATCTTAATCTCCCCACCTTTTCTTGTCTTTAATTTCTCTTTTCCCTGTTTCAACGTTTCTATCAGTTCAGTTACGGTGGCCGGAAACTCATCTTAATACGTGTTCCATTCAGCCCTATCCTTGTGTGACACATGATCAATTACAGGTCTTATGTTCCTACTTTGCTGGTTCATTCACCTCACTACAATGAATCTATCTGACAAAGAAGACATGTGCTACCTGATCGATTGTCTGATCATGTGCATGTGCTCATATAACCACGCAATTTGTTCATATATATAATACAGAGATATTCTTCCTACCTTACGTGTCAGTCAGCTGCTAAAATAGTAAAATTGAACCTCAGTCATTAGTTAAAGGAAAATATATATGAAATCATGTTTATCGATAACTTGGGTCAAATAATGACTCAAATCTTACTTCTTTAGTATATATAGTATCCCCAACATTACATGTTCTACTGTGTCAAGTAATTCAAAATTTGGTCTTCGAACAATAGTAATAATGCAATAATTAAGTTGATCAGCTTTAATGACTAACGCGCTTTATTGACATATTAATTATGACTTTTTCGAAACTTATGAACTTTCCCTAAATTGTTAAGTTTTAATTGATAGTTTTAACAAATTTTCTTGTCCAACACCTCTCTTCCAAAAATAAATATGTTAAGTACTTTATTGATTTATATATGCTTTTAGTTATTTAAATTTAAGATAATTTTATTTTTAGTCTATATATTCTATAAAAAAAAAACTTGTTTTAATCATTATAATTAATCACATGTTGGATTAACTGTGAAGCTTCAGCTCAATTTAATATGGTGCGCTATAGATGAATTTTTTGTGATGGATTTTATAATAGGTAAGTTATTCATCATATGGCCGGGCAACAATAACTTTTTTCCTTCAAATTATATGCAACTAAAAATCAATTTTAATTTGATTAAAAATATTATAAAACATAATATAATAGAAAATTAATAATAGAATCCCAATATAAAAATAAAATATATAATAATCGACATAAAAAAATTTAATTAAAAACTTGATCTTTAAATTGAAAATATAAAATTTGTAAATTAATTAAAAAAATTATAATTACCCAAAAAAATATATTTATTCATAAAATAAAAATAAATTTTGTATAAAAATAACTTATAAATGTCTATTCATAATATCTTACTTTTAACAGATAATATAATCAAACATTTTAATTTAATAAAATAGTTTGATAGCTTTCAATTTTTAACGATCAACTTTCGGTTAGAGTCACATTTTCAACTTTCGGTAAGCTTTTTTAATCAAACTATAGTTTGCCCCTTTTTTCTTTTGGTAGAAAAGTTCATGTTAGTAATCAATAAATATATTTTGTAAAAATTTTGATAAATTTATTCTACTCAATAATTTATTTATTTTTATTAAATTTTAATAATTTAATTATTAAATTAGAAATTCTTACGCCATGAATCAAACTTGCAAATATTTAAACACTATTTGATACCTATTTCATTAATTAAAATTGATGGATAATCATAAAAGTATTTTATACATTGATCCGAATTAATGAAATAAAATATCAGATAGTTTTTAACTCTTTTAAAAATTTGTAGGTTTGATCTATAAGACTTTTAATTTAAAGGTTCGATCATTTGAAATTTAATGTAAAATATGAGTTATTGAATAAAGTAAGTTTATCAAAATTTACTCTTAAAATTAGTGAATTCCTTTATATATATATATAGAGAGAGAGAAGAAATCTTTTTACTTTAAGTGTAAGTCTACATATATTTACTTTATTCAATAGTTCATGTTCTACATTAAATTTCAATGATCCAATCGTCGAAATTAAAATTTTTAATGCATAAATCAAGTTTACAAATTTTTAAAAATTTTGAAAATTATTTAATATTTTGTTTCATTAATTCAAAATGATAGATAATCATAAAAATATTTTATACGTCAAT